TAAAAGTGCTTTACAAAAGCACATAAGTGTCATCAACCCCATTTTACAGATGGGAAAATGAATCCCAGAGAGGTTAAGTGATTGTTCTAGGTCACACAGGAAGTGCAGGGGGAAACAGAGATAGGGACCTGCCCCAAGAGAAATGGGGGTCTTGAGAGGGCCCCAGGGTGGCTAAGAAGGAGAACCTGGCAGGGTGGGGATAACAGATGGGAAGCTTGACACGGTGGCAATAATTGGAGAAGTGTGTTTGGAGGGGTTTGGGGTGAGGGGGCAGGAATAGAGAGACCTGGGGAGGGCGGGTTTGAGCGGTGACTGACCTGGGAATAGAAAACCCAGGAGTTCTGACTCTATTCTAAGCACCAGCCCCTCATCTAAAGCAGAGGACTTGAACCAACTTGTCATTTCCATCAGATCACTAGAGCAGCACACACTAGCACCTATTGCCTTCTCAGGCGCTACTCATTACATAACGGAGCATCTTCCTTTGGGGCTTGCCATCCCCTATGCACTATACACAGAGACAAACTGCACCGAAGTTTGCCCCTTCACATTAAAAAAAAAAAAAAGGCAGCGCACACAGGTCACACCATGGACGCTTTATGATGGGCTCTCCCCTTTTGCATTGGCCGGAGGGGCAGACAAGCAGCATAAAAACACTCACAGGAGCCTCCGCTGCACGCGGGGGGAGCCTCCCTCCTATTAAAGGGCCCAGCAGATACAACTGCCCAGGGGAGCCCTGAGGGGGTCGCTCACAGCCCCCTCCCCCCCGTATTAAGAGGGGAGGGGCGCAGCCCGCCTTGAGGGATACCACGGGGGTGGCACCCCGGCTATCTTCCGGGGGACAGACGGCCGAGCTCTCCCCCACGCCGTATGAAAGGGGATGGCGGCGAGCACCGGCTCGGGGGAAGGGCAGGGGGCCCCCTGGACTGAGCACGGTCCGCACCGCAGAGCCACCCGCCACGGCCCAGCAAGCGGGGCGGCTCCCGCCCCCTACCTGCACGGGGGTCATGTGGGGGAAGCCCAGCTCCCGCAGGGTCTGCAGGACGCCCGGGCTGAGCGTGACGGGCAGACACTCCCACCGCCCCTCGGTCACCCCCTCCATCTTGAACAGGCTCCCTTGTGCCGCTGCCCGCCCGCTCAGGCTCCCCCCGGCCCGGCTGGGTCCCGTCGTCAATGAGTCCGTGGGAAAACAGCGGCCGGGCGCAGATGCGTTCCGCTTTGCAGCAGGGTGCCGGTACCGCGCTGCTGAGGCGAACAGTAGCGTGAGGAACTGCTCCGCGGCTGCTTCTGGGCTAAGCCACGTCCTTCTACACTCTCTCGAGGCTTTTATTCCACACTCCCCAGGGTAAATGTTTGAGCACGTTCTGAGTTAGCGCTTCAGAGGTGATTTCTAGCTTCCAGACCTTTCAACCATCACCAGTTCCTTCTACAGAGTAGCAGCCGTGTGAGTCTGCATTCGCAAAAAGAAAAGGTGGACTGGTGGCACCTTAGAGACTAACCAATTTATTTGAGCATTTTTACATCACTCAAGGTTGCCACAGACGAACGTGCTGAACTTTCCACCCCATAACCTCAAACTGACAGGCAGGTAAGTATTTCCTCTAGCTAAGAGATACGGATCCAGTTCCGACCTTCCTTGCACCAGCACTAAGGAAGGAACATGTCTGTGTAAAACTTATAAGAGACAAGAATCAGGTCCTATGCATTTAGGAAGTTCTTGCTTATCATGTACCAAAGCACATCTGTTTACATCTTAATAGGCAAGCCTGAAGGCATGATGGGTATGAGCGGTGGGATACTGGTGAGTTTCTCTGCCACTGACTTTGCTTTATTAGGCCAGAGATTTTTTTTTCTTCTCTCCTTCCATTAGATAAGTAGAGACCATAGAAATGTACCTTTCACAACACAAGTCACTATGGGAAGAGGTCAACATTTGGTGAATAACTGCTCTTCAGTAGCTTCTGTGACATCTTGAAGTTCCAAACTGAAATACATAGTAATTGGTATACAAATGCCCTTCACACTTAACCAGGTAACAGTGGATATGCTGGCTAGCTTCAGCCAGCTGTACCTCTGATTAACAAGATTGAGGACAGTCCATATAGATACAGTATTAAGGTACCCTATAGCCTTAATTTTTCCTATATAAAAACTTTATAATATTGAAGGTATCAAGGAAGCAATATATTCAATGGACAACTTATGAGATCTAGGTCAAAGGCATAAAATTTGAGGTGTTACTGAACACACAGTAAGATTACATTTTAAAGGGATCAGCTTTGAATATTCCACATAATAGTCTAGGAGCTTACAGACCAGGCATTTTATAAAATGCACTAGAAATTTATGTTTATGATGAACTAAGAGCCCATTATACCTAATGGCGGCTCAACCAAGGACAGATTGTAGATGTGCTAGGAAAGCAGCAGCACTAGTTATGTGGATACTACCTGGATATGCATGGTAAAATCCAGATCTTGATGATGATACAGAAATGTGCTTGTCACTTTGGTGGGCAGATTAGACCTGAATCAGAAAGCACTAGTCAGCAACATAATTGCACAGAAGCTAGAAGATGGACAGCAGATAGTTGTACTGGTGCTTGGAAAACCCATGAAATTCTTCAGGCACTTATGTGGATACATCCGGTGAAGTGAGCTGTAGCTCACGAAAGCTTATGCTCAAATAAATTTGTTAGTCTCTAAGGTGCCACAAGTCCTCCTTTTCTTTTTGCGAATACAGACTAACACAGCTGCTACTCTGAAACCTATGTGGATACTCTTTCACAAGCAGTCCAGGTGCTTTCACCTGTACCAGCTTGAAATAAGAAAAAGATTCCCTATCTCCTCTTCTGCTGGGTCAGATGTCTCAATTTTTAAAGGTTTCAGAGGAACAGCCGTGTTAGTCTGTATTCGCAAAAAGAAAAGGAGTACTTGTGGCACCTTAGAGACTAACCAATTTATTTGAGCATGAGCTTTCGTGAGCCACAGCTCACTTCATCAGATGTGTACCGTGGAAACTGCAGCAGACTTTATATACACACAGAGAATATGAAACAATACCTCCTCCCACCCCACTGTCCTGCTGGTAATAGCTTATCTAAAGTGATCAGCAGGTGGGCCATTTCCAGCACAAATCCAGGTTTTCTCACCCTCCACCCCCCCCACACAAATTCACTCTCCTGCTGGTGCTAGCCCATCCAAAGTGACAACTCTTTACATAATCAAGTCGGGCTATTTCCTGCATAGATCCAGGTTTTCTCACTTCCCCCCCACCCCCATACACACACAAACTTACTCTCCTGCTGGTAATAGCTCATCTAAACTGACCACTCTCCAAGTTTAAATCCAAGTTAAACCAGAATATCTGGGGGGGGGGGGAGGTAGGAAAAAACAAGAGGAAACAGGCTACCTTGCATAATGACTTAGCCATTCCCAGTCTCTATTTAAGCCTAAATTAATAGTATCCAATTTGCAAATGAATTCCAATTCAGCAGTTTCTCGCTGGAGTCTGGATTTGAAGTTTTTTTGTTTTAAGATAGAGACCTTCATGTCTGTGATTGCGTGACCAGAGAGATTGAAGTGTTCTCCGACTGGTTTATGAATGTTATAATTCTTGACATCTGATTTGTGTCCATTTATTCTTTTAATTTTATTTCAATTTTTAAAGTTGTTTTTATTTAGTTTTGCATGAACACTATAGGGCATTAGTGAAATGCAACTATTATCCTGCTGTTTTAAACATAAAAAAGCGTCCCTACAAAAATAAAATAAGCATTTTCCATCAAGCATCTACTCTTTGCTAAACATCCCATTTTAAACATTTTCTTTACATGCCCTCAAATACCCAACTCTAATCAAACTGTTTTGGACTTAATGCTAAAGCAACTAGTGCCCAACTAGCTTTCCCTGCAAAAATCAGGCCAAATAGTTTGTACTCATTTGACTGTATATTTAGTTCAAAAACTTTCCACAGGTTGATAAGAAAACTAATAAAATTCAAATACAAGTGTGGCTGCACGTTATTAGTAAAAGCTGTATATTTAGTATTGTCCAAAATTTCTTTTACCCCATAAACAGAGTAGGATATTCCAACTAAGGTGTATTTTTCTTTGCACTCATTTTTTCTAAAAATATTTTAAAAAGCAAAATCTCAAACATGAAAAGGTAGAGAATGTCCTAGTTAACGGTCAAAAGACAAAACCATTTTTTTAAGAATTTGTTTATTTATTGAACCTGGGTCATATTTAGATTCACAAGCAATTTTAAATGTACATCTTAGAATTCAATTTTGAAGTGTTTCACACAAAAATATTGGCACACAACAGTTGCATTAAGGTGTAACAGCCACCCTTTTTGAAGAACTGCTGCAAGTGTTTGCCCAAGGTTGAAAAAGTTTACTTGGAACATGAAAACCTGTAACAAATTTTAAATTAATTGTACAAAACGGTTGTGTGTTACTTGTAGACCTTCCCCCCCCCCCCTTGAAAAGACCCCACCCCATTCCAAAAAAAAAAAAAGAAAAAGAAAAAGAAAAAAAGATTACAACTAATATACATCAGTCACAACATAATCCTGGATCAGCACCCACACCATAAACGAGTCTTTAGATTTTTTAAACCCAGCATCAGATACCAAGAAAATAAAGTAATTGTTTATACAAAAAATGAAATCCACATGTGCCTGAAATAAAGAAAAAACACACCAGTACTTAGCATTATGCTAATTAGGACCAGATAATGGCGGAAAATACCACTTAAAATAAGGGCTGCATAGCATTGCAATAAACCCCAAGAACCATTAACCCTTTGGCATCAGAAATCCAGATTTCCTGAACACTGGTGCATTCTGCAATAGTGCCAACAGTATGAGCTTCAGACCTGCAAGCACTATGAGGTTAATAACTACTGTTTGCCAAGACACTGCACACAACTGGCTTTGATAGTTATAAACCTGTGAAACTGAAGCCACATAATTGTCTGGTAATAAAAGGAAAGCATGTATTTTAATATCAATGTTTAATTAAAAAGAATGTAGGGAACAAATCAATGTAATTAAGATCATTACGGTGGATTTTTTTTGTGACCAAGTATGCATACTACAGTGGAAATGCCAGCTGTCTTCTATTCATTATCAGTCATATTAGAATGAAGTTCTGCTTCATTTGCCCTTCTGGGCAGTACATGAAAGTGAAGAGGGGATTATTTTCATTCCATAATGTCTACTGCAGGATTAAAGATGTGAAGAATGCAAATAGTCACTTTAGGACCTTTTACTGTTTCCCTAAACAGAATTGCAATTAATTATGAAAACAGAAAAAAGTTAGAAAAAGACAGTAACGTTGCTTATTACTACGTTTGAATTATAGCATTTGCAGTCTGTTTAGACCTCGCTTAGCATAAAGACTAGGCAGATTTCAAGTGAAAAAATTATGCCAATTAAGTGACAAGATATTTTAACACAGCTTTTGCTACAGAAGATATATAAAAACATTTCATTTTAACTAGGAACTTAAGCAAATAAGTTTTATAGTTCAGAAATTAGGGTTTAGAAACTAAATGATATTGTTTTGTGACCAAGATGTTTGGTAGATAGTAAAGTGAGTGTTTGGGATCATGAGGAAAAGTTCTTAAACAACTCTTCGGACTTCAAAAAATCTCTTCAGGTAGTAGATTTGTCCCAGTGTCATGGCAACTAGTACAAGTGCTTCAAAGAATGACCAGAGGACCACTCTGCTGTTTGTGTTGTCATTAACTGTTGGAGAAAAAACAGAAGTATATGATTACTAAAATAAGGTCTATATGGTTATGACGGCAAGCACTATACACATCTGTGCATTCATCCATACAACCCTTAGAATGCTGGCATACTCTGCAGTCACAGCCAAGTGGTCTAGGATGACTGTGTTACTCTCTAAAAGGTCAATAAAGCTGACAGACAGGACACATCACTCTAAAATTACAGCTACAAAAGGGTTATAAGGTCTAAAGGTCCAAGCAGAATTTGCCAGTTACATGTCCATTTTTCCAATCCAAGGGGCAATTTTCCTACTGGAATTATTTCAGACACCAGAAGCTCTTTCAATCTCATCAGTCATGAGTTGCAGCACCTTTCAATGCCCTATCCCATCTCCATGAGAATGCTTACTAACCCAGACTAAGTTTGATGGCCGCACTTGGTACCTTACTCCAGATTTACTCCCCTGCTTTTTTCCGCTTTAGTGCAACAACTGCATTTCCTAACTTCACAGTATCAAGTCTATCAATCCACTGTTCTACAGAGTCTACCATTTCCAATATTGATAAAACAAAAATACAGCCAACTACCACTAAAACTGGTTAGTTTACACATACTGCAAAGCATTTGTACTGTAAACATTTAAAGAGTCCACTGGCATGTCAAGAATGAGCTGTTACTCTCAGGTAAAATTCTAGAATAATGCTGGTAGTAACAGCAGCAAACTGTTTGAGTCATGTGACAACTAGTTTGCCACTGCGTTTAAAACACTCTCTCCTAGAGCCTAATGTTATACCATCATATCTTCTATATCCTTTAAAAAAAAAACAGCATAATAGACACTGTTAGGAAGACAAACTGGATATGGATATCTAGTTCACAAAACGTTAGGTTAGTAATCATTATTGCTTGAAGAAAGCATGAAGACACATTCTTCCTGGATGTGAAATTATGAACACGGACCACAACTGCTAGAACCAGTGTAATGAAATGCAGCAATGGAAGAATTTAATAATTGGATTTTGTTTGATGGATGTCCCCTCAGGAATCTGCCTCATTTTCCCCAAGCTTTTGATTATGTTTCTCTTTATGAAAAACTATCAAGGTAATTTTGAATCCATGAGGATAAGGAGACATTGATGTTAATGTACATTTATAAATTCAGCCCTAAAGTAGTGGAAAATTATATGTATTGAATCTTTTTAAAAATTAAGTTCCTATACAGAAAGTTCTAACGTACAGTTATGTGTTTCACAGGAAAACAGATTTTCCCTTTATTTGTACTGTATTTATTCTATCTGCCAATTCTATTTAAGTAGTGGGGATTGCGTCTTAGACCCTGTTCACCTTCCTCACATGAGCAGCAATAGTTCCACTAATGTCCAAAGGCCTATCTCTGCATAAAGACGACAAGGTGAATTAGGCTCAATTACAGCAAAGCAAGCCAGACTAATTTCATGAATGAAATAATGCATCCATCTACCACCAGAAAACGTATCACTGACCTTGAGACATTCATGAACATACCATTTACTAATTACAAATAGTTCCTGCTTTATCTTTCAAATTTTACACTGGCAAAGCAGATATACATTTTGCATAACAAAATTTTTTAGTTACACTAGGGACAACCAGGTTTAAAGAAAGAAATGAAGTGATATGACATTGAGATCCTATCATGCTAGCAGAACTTGAGAGTTTTAAAATTCTCAAATAACCAAATGTAGTTTCTAGATACTTTCCCTAAAGCTCAAAATATCCAACATTTAAGAAAAAAACAGCATGCAAGTCAAAGAAAGCCACATACTTGCTCTGTGTATTCTCTCACGAACTTCCATGTACTCCTGTTCATGCTTTACAGCTGTCATGGCCACTGCTAACTCATTAATCATCTCTTCTAGCTTGTTCTGATGAGCTGCAGAATAATTTTAAAAGATGTCAGAAAGGCTGTATTACTGACATATCAAAAACAGCTTCTCCTGAAAGTGGATGAATAGTTATATTTAATTCCATACTATGGTTAGTTTTGTAAAATGTAGTCTATACAGCTGAAAACTTTTCAACCTTGTCGGAAAAGATTGTTCGATAAGTAAATCTGATATTGACAATGATGGGAACGATATTTCTAAGAATCTCAGAGTCAGGTTCACAGGTTTCTTCCTTTACAATTTTATTTTACATTTGGGTAGGCCTCCTTCTCCATGGTATCTAACTTGGAGGCCAGGGCAGGGCTGACCAATTTTATAGTCAACACAGATCAGTGACATTCAACATATATATACACACACACTTTTCCAGAGAAGCAGCGTGCAAAATTTATCTGATCATATCAAATCAGTACAATATTGTGCTAATGCCTGTCCTGCTAGGATTACCTTCACTATACGTCCTTCAAACACATTCTCTTAAATAGTACAGAGCTTTAATGCTAATTTGCCAACAGCACAGCAACTGAGAATTTAGTTTAAACTTGTGATGTTGGCTAAACAAGATAAGTTTCTGAAGAGATGTGTTTGGCTACTCCTCTTGTGACCTTCCTTTGTAGTTGACATATGGGATAAAACAAGTTCTGAAGGAAGACACCTTTCCTTCCAAGTACTGGCATGACATGACAGTGGCCTGATAATGGAAGAGGAAAATAACACTAGATGATTATCATAGAACAATGGCTTGAGGTGGCTCACCAGATGCTGGGAGCAAGACAGCTAGTATTTAGTTTGGATGTCAGATGACAGTAGGATACAGTTTACTGCCTTCAATGCTGAGAGCAATGTGCAACTCTGTAACATTTAGATTAATAAAGTGTACTTATCAGAATTCTCTAGCACCAAGAACTTCAAGTCACTCCCCCAAAGGTTGACCTCTGCTACTAACAGTTCAGATATCTTGCAGGAATTACCTACAAGTTCAGGACAATTCATGGGACATTTAAGGACAATACTTGGGAGCCACCATACTATTACCTTTGCTTGTAAATGGCAGATATTTTAGATGCAGCCTTAAATGCTACATGAAGGACCTTTTTCTTTCAGCAATAAGAGAAAGAAGAAGGCTGTTCAAAAGCCACACTTTTTTTAGGAAGGAGGAAATAACTCATGAGTTATGAATTCTGTCACCAAAAAAACCCTTTATAGTTGCCTGAGCAATACTGACCTTACCTTACAGATATCAAGATACACCACCCATTCTCATGGCCAGCTGGCTACTGCAATATGGGTAGCTTATTAGTAAGAACAAAGATCACTACTGTATGGATTGTTTAAACATGCTGAAAAGATACTTGCTTACAGGCAAACATCTGCCTTAAGCTGAAGAAACTAGACTTGTGTCAGTATTCTGCATGATAGGTGTGCTATTCACAGACTTGAGAGAATCTTTTAACTATCTCTTATGAATAAGAACTCAGTTAGAAAATTGTTAAATATTTCAAGAAAACGTCAAGCACTCACTTCACACATGGGTTACATATCTGCTATAATAGAAGACAAAAGGTAATACTGTCTTCTTGCTAATTACTGTACTGTAGCATGATTTTCTAAATTTTATGATTCAGTCCGTTTCCCAAAACCTTAATTTAATTCTACAGTAAATGACATCTGTTGTAATTTTTCACTTACAGGTTATGCATTAGCTGTAAGATTATATTACAAGGAATATAATATGGTTCATTCCCCTCCAAAATGCTCTCAATTCCCCATGCCCACTTTAATACCAGAAAGCAAAACAACAACCATGAAATATCTAAAGTTACTAGGTGTTCAGTATTTTAAATTGAATTCTATTTAACAAAAACTCCTGATTATGTCTCCTGCTAGCCATAAATAACCCCCTGAAGACAAATCTTCATTAACAGTTTAAGGGCCTGATCCTGAGAGATGCTAAGCACCCAGACCTCACAATAGAAGCTGCAGGTGCCCAGCATCTATCAAGATCAGACCTTCATTTTGTGTAGTTTATTAAAAAAAGACATTCTCATGCTAACAAACAGATGTTAGAGAAGAGGAAAAGCACAAGTTAGATGTTAGTAAATAAACATATGCAAAAGACAAGATGCTAATGAGCTTTCAAAAAGCAGTACACATACCATCCCAGGTATCTCCACCACCTAGGGAAAAGTGTAAGAGATGAACAGAGTACAGGACAAAAAGCTGCAGATAAACCAGTAATTTACATGGCTAGGAGAAAATTACATATTAGCACACTTATCAAAGAATTCAATTAATGCATGTAGTAATCTACACAGCGCTGAGCACCTCAACTGGAAGTGTGAAACTTAGGAAAAGACTAAAGAATTAAAGCATTAGTTCCTGCAGGCAGCAGAACGATTCCCAGTCATTTTGCATTATGGCATTTTGTATAGTAGTGTCTAAAAATATTTAGACCAAGTTGTAGCTGCTCAAGAAAATGACAAACTAAAGCGACTAAATGAGATAAGAATTCTGAGATTTCTTGTACAGTACTTCGGAAGGATGTGTGCAGAGAAAAGCTTCTAAGTTTAGTGTTTCAAGGTCACAAATCAGAACCATTTTCCTTCCAGAAGTTCTTCTCACCTTCTGTCTCCATGTCTTGCCCTTTTGGAGCTTCTCCAATATCAATAGTGAACATCACTATCTTAGGAGTCATGGTGGACATTCTGTTGCTAAAGCAAAACTTGTAAGTTCCATCCATATGAGCAGCAAATGTGTATTTTCCACTGGACTCTCGGTCTCCTTTATAAATCCCTTTATTATCAGGCCCTGTAATCTGGGGGCAAAAAAGAAAATTTCACTACTCTGTGTGTGTGTCTTGAAATCATGCATTTAGAAAAAGCAAATTTAAACTAAACTCATGATATTCTATCTGGACACAGCACTCCTACAATTAATATGCAATACCAACAGAATCTATATAATCTCTTACGTCCCACAACCAAAAAGCAGTATGACATTTTTCTATCTGCATTAGAACCTTTCAGAAAACACCTCTGTAACGTGATGCAAATGGCTTTTTAACTGCCAAGACTTGCATTATCTTTCAACGGTCAAGATGAACATTATCTTATGTTTACTTTTGGATGCTAAACACAGAACCCTAATCGCCATTTCTGTCAGGAAAGTAAATGAGAAACTAACTTACTTGTTTTGACAAATCACTATTGTTTTTAAGTATACGATTCTGTGCTGCTGTAGGTGCCATTTTTAGGATATAACTGAACCAGTGTACTGACAACTTGTGGTCATTAAGATGTTAAGGCTCTTGTTTGCCAAAAGTAGAGTGTTGAAACTTGCGTCTTGGCCTTGTTTCATTACATTCTGCTGCCCTAGATATCGTGAGTTTAAACTGCATTTAATACTTTTCCTCAATACCTCTCCTACCTATTGTATAATGTCACTGCATAACTGCAAAAAGCACCAAGAAGAGGTATTGCTACATCTAGTCATTCCACTCACAAAATCACCCTCAGTATTGTCCTTCTTTATTATATCTCACATCCTCTTGAGAAAGTGCTCAAGATAAGCCTAATATTTGCCATGTTCTACTTCAAAGCTGACTGCATCTGTGGTTGGTGAAGAGATTCCATTTGTAGACTGAAGTGTCTTTGGGATTCTTTGAGATGAAGTGTGTACATTATTCTCCTACCGACCTGGATTTCTTTGGGGGGAGGGCAAGGGGGGGAAGGTGTTAAAAAAATTAACAGCCCACGATTCATAACATGTCAGTCAAATCCAACTAAGTTAAGTCCAAATTCATGCATCAAAACTAGGAAACTGCTGTGGGCCCCCCAAACTAATCAGCACTATTCTGTAAGAAACATCCCCTACCACATCCCCTGCTTATTTTGAAAGCTTTCAAAAGAGGATGTGGGATAGAGAAAGGAAGGAAGGTTTTAAGAGGGTGGTTTTGAAAGTGCAGTTACTAGACATAGTAGTGCCTTTTCCAGGTGCTTTCTGCAGTTATATTGACAATAGAGAGCAGTTGGCCTTGGGCAACTTGATCTGCAGATGTAATTTAGCCTCTTCTGGGGGAATTTGGACATCTCAAGTTACCAGCAGCAGAGACCATGACCTAGCGTGAGTGAGATAGTGCTTCTGCCAAGTAGAAATTTGGCAGGTAAGCCTGGCATATAAAGAAATGCCAGTGACCAAAGAGAGAGCTATATGAACATTCCAGCCAATTGTGATTAATACATATCTGTCTTCAGATTTATCTCCACCAGGGCAACTCCCATCATCACTCTCCCTACCTTCATAGCTCTGAGCTCTCCCCATTACTAGCCATTAGGCTACTAACTGCTCAGGGTGCAAACTCTCTTCCATTCCCCCCCCCCAGGCTGTCAGTAGCTTCACATCCTTGCTCTCACCCGCCTACCCCCACCCAATGGTTACACTCAGAATCCCCTCACACCACAATAGGGCACATCCATACACTGCCCTGGCCCTTAAAGGATCCTGCTTTTACCCTTGATAAGATAGAGCCTGATACAGCTCTGCTCCCTGATGCCAAAAAGCTTCACTTTGCCTCATCAAGGCATTAGTTTATCATCCTCTCTTCAGCACGGGCAGATGGGAAGCTAGGCTGGGCTCTGCTCAAGACATTCCATGCGCCCTGGAGTGAGCCAATACCAGAAGCTGAACCCTCATCCCACCTGAACAGCTGCGCCGCCCCCCCATCCCCAGCCATGGCTAGCCCCCCCTTACACTTTAGAAACCAACAGCCCCACAAGCTCAAGGCAATGGCCAAAAACGCCGCCCCTGGCCGCCAGCCATGGTGAGAGCCCATCGCTCTCACCCACAGCACGGATCACCCCCTCCATGGCATGGCCTGCCTCGGCCTACCCCCCCCACTCCCCCCGCCAAGGTCAGTCCACAGCCCCAGCTCTCCCTGCAGATCCGCTCCCCACGTCCCGCTCTCGTTCCCTCCCTCCTCACGGGGCCGAGACCCCCGGTTCCCCCCCTCTCTTTACCCGCCCCCGGCCTGCCCGCCCTCCCCCGCCTCACCTCCACGTCGATGTCCAGGAAGCCCCCCTCGGCCACCTCGAAGATGAGCCCCATCTTGGTGCCAGACGGGACCCGCTCCAGGAAACACTCCTCCGCGTGCGCGTCGATGCTCACGAAGTAGCCGGCAGCCGGGGCTGAGAGCGCGGCCAGCAGCGCCAGCACCGCCCTCACCGGCGACATGGCGGAGCCAAGGGGGACCGAGCGGCGCGGCAGAAGGGGGACTCTTCCTGCTCACAGCCCGCCCCTTCCGGGGCACGGGGCCGCCGCTCATAGGCCAGGACAGACCCACTGCCACGTATAGGCTGCGCTACGGTGGCCACCGAGGGACACGCCACGGTGGGCGGTGCCAATCCGTGAGGTGCAGAGTTTGGGGGGAGGCAAGAGGAATCCGCGCTGCGCAGGGGGCGGTACGGTACCCGACAGGGCCAATCCGCGCCGCGTGGGGAACGGCCGGGGGCCGGAAGGGGACAATCCGCGCAGCGGGATTAGATAGGGCCCGTCAGAGGCTTATGAGGAGCGAGTCCGGATCAGCGATCTGTGAGACCCGGATGGGGATGTCAGCGCACAAAGGGGCCCCGCGGGACGGGGCAGGGGCCTCCCGGGGGGGAACCACTGAGGCCAGTGGGGGAGGGGCCGGGCCGGGCCGGGAGGGGGCCGTTAAGACACAGAGGGGAGTTCAGGTAGCCAGAGCCCACCATGCAGCAGGTTGCAGCAGCTGCAGGTTCCTGTCACGGGTTACCCCGAGCTGGGCTCGTTACGGGCACAGTGGTGAGGGTCACCGGGTTGGGATCGCTGCGGTGAAGAATTGCCAAGGCTTCCAGCAAGGCCAGGCATAACAAGGGCTCCGCTCTCTCTGACCTGGTTCTTCCACTGCACCCGTCCTCTGGAAATGCCCGATAGGGTCCCCCAGCCTGTGACCTGTGCTGACAAACACTCCCATTGCAAGGTGGACCTAGCATTTGTCCAGTCAAGTAAATATTTCCCCTTACCTGTCAATATTATTTCTTTTATTGGACCAACTTGTGTTGGTGAAAGAGACACGTTTTCGAGCTACACAGGGGTACAGGACCCGAAGAAGAGCTCTGTGTCACCTGAAAGCTTGTCTCTTTCACACAGCTGTCGGGTCACTAAAAGCTATTCCCTCACCCACCTTGTCTCTCAAGTATCTCAGCCCCAACGTGGCTACAACGCTGCAAAAAATATTTGTTCTGTGTTGTCTGGTTTGTGCTTAGGACAATCCTTTACAGCCACTTTTCCTGCCATGATCAGGAAGCAGAAACTGCAGGGTCTGAATTTGACAAAAGTGAGCTCTAAAGCTGAATAACGTATACTAAGTAATGATACTACTCACCAAAACTGAGACAATGTTTACTTACTTTACTAGGATTTATGTTGATAAAAAGCACTTTGAGATTCTTAAGTGAAAGGTGCTACATAAATACAAAGTATTATAAGGCCACTAGAAATAGGACTAGTTGAGCAAGAAAATTAAGCAATGGGGAACTGTAGAGAGAATAGAAATGTAAAATTAGATATCTCAGGCACTGCATTAAAATGTGATGGATATACATATGATATTGCATCACATATGTATGTTTCTAGTCAGAGGGTAGGTGCTTTCCATTTGTTAACAGGAACCTCTTTTGTGTACACTTTTCAACGTTAATATGGGAGGAAAATAATCAACACTGCCAGTCACAGAAACAAAGAGTCATGTTTGATTTAATTTTTGTTGTTGTTGCACCAAACCAACAGAAGAGTTTTTAAAGCTAGAGTAAAGGTTGGGCCATCTACCCAAATGTTCATAAGCTGAGACTTGCCAAAGAACCATTGTGATTAACCATCATCTGAGGTAAGATGTGTGTGTCAACATCACATGTATTATTTCGGCTAAAACTCATAAGCCTCTTTTCACTTGCATTTTGTAACCAGTTAATAAGAATATTTGCTGCATGTAGTTAGTCCCGAACCACTTCTTTCTTCAGATTATACCCTACAGTTCTTTATCTTATCTAATTATGTGTTTCAAGTACCTACAAGGTTAGCCTTGTCAAAGTTGAAAAGATTATTTTAATAATATTTCTTACCCTGAATAAATTCTGAAATGCATTTAATTGCATTTCTGACCCAACTATGACCAGTGGCCTTTATTTAGAATGTTGGAGACATACGGTTTTGGGGAACACTTTCAGAAGTGGATTAAAATAATCTACCAAAATCCTATAACATGTATTTGGGGAAAGATCACAAAAGCTGAGCCAATACCATTATAAAGTGGAACAAGACACGGGTATGCTTTACCACCCTTATTATTTGATTTAATTATTGAACCATTAGAAGAAAAGATCAGGGACACTGCAGAAATGCAGGGAATAAGTGTATTGGGAATAGAAAACAAAGTTTCATTATATACGAATGACCTTATGCTTTTTTTACAAGTCATAAATGAAAGTAGGCCAGTATTACATGAAATAGTTAAAGATTTTGGTCAGGAATTGGGATACAGATTAAACTACTCTACATCAGCAATACTAAACCTTGGCTTCATATGATCCCAATAAATGATATATACCCATGGAAAGCAGTGGGTAATGACATTATATATTTAGGCATTAATGTATCACTAAAGTGGGGGAGCTGTTTAAATTAAATACTGAGCCATTAATGACAATTATTTACAATGACCTAGAAAGTTGGGTATTATTACCAAAGACTTTGATAGGTAGATTTCATATACTTAAAATTCATATCCTGCCCAGGTCTTGTATCCTTTTTTCCATTATTCCCTTTACATCTCTGAAAAAAATCTTCAAGAAATTAAACAAACTTATTCAGAGATTCTTATGGTCAAATCAGAATCCAAGTATCAAAATGGAATGGCTGGAATGTCCAGTTGAAATGGGAGGCCTGGCATTATGAAACTTCAAGAGATACTATAAGGAAGCACAAATTAGACAGGTACTGGAATGGCTCTCTAATACTGAGAGTACATCATGGATACAGATGCAACAGACACTGACAAACCCAATCTCATTATATAATTATGTGCTCAGCTGGATCATATCCTATTATTCTGGCACCCAGAAATACCACTTGCTACTTAAAAGTGCACTTACTAATTGGCATACATGAGGCATAAAACCAAACAAAAAGAGCAGATCTCGGTAATATCAACATTAAAAAAAAAAGTTTGCTTTCAAACCCCAGCTGAATGATGTTGGGGCAAATATTACTATGATAAATGGAAGGATTTATTTAGGTATGGACAACCCTTCAAACAAACAGATGTAGCTGATATATTAAAAAAAGAAAAGTATGCACAATATGAGTTTACACAGATTGCTTATCTTTTATTTATTAAAAATACTTTCAGAGAAGAAAGGAACAGACAAAACTATCTGTATTTTACAATTGTATATGTGGTCTTCAAATTTCAGCGATCAAGATTACGTCTAGAATGTATAATCTCATGACTATGTTTTTAAAGAACAAATCACATAAAGCTATTGTCATGGAGTGCAGACTAAATCTGAAACAACAGTAAAATAATAAAATGAGATAATGCAGATGATAATTATTGTCTCTAATACTAACCAAGTAGTGCAAATTCAGTACTTTTTAGTTTACACAATGTATATTTCTCCATCTCTATATAATAAAATACATAGTATTGCCCCAGATATTTGTATGAAATGCAAAACAACCAGACCCTCTTTCACATACGATATGCAGCTGTTGGATAGTAAAAAATAAAATTAGAAAACCATCTTGAAAGAAATAAAAAAAAACAGAGATAGAACTTGAACAGGACTTAAAGACATGTATATTGGGAGTTGGACCATTAAAATGATTCAAACAAGGAATAAAGAAGTTACTCCTATTCTTGCTCTTTATAGCAAAAAAAAAAAATCTTAAATTTGTGGACACGGGCAACGATTGCTACTTTAGATGACTGGAAAAACTATTCACAGAATATCTTATCAAGGAAGGTTTAAATTATGTGAGAACAGTCCCAGACAAATTCTCAAAAAAACCCAGATAAAAGAAGTAGTATGCCTTGCACAGGAAAACAACAGAAATAATTAAGTCATTGATATGCTTTGAGAGAGAGACACTCCTGTATTTTGAGGATAGTCAAGAAGAATATACGCAGAGGATAATAACTGAATTACATCTCCTCCCCCTTCCTCCATTAGCTTTCCTTTGTATCTTCTTGAGACTTGCCCCCCCAAAAAACATTCAGCTCCCCCCCCCCCAAAAAAAAGTAATAGGAATGATTACACATATACATATGAACCATGCTAAGGTTGTGTTTAAGTAGGTTTGGGGCGACAGGAAGAAAATATTAATGGTATAACATGATATGGTAAATATACAATGTTGCTTAAAATGTTAATTTTGTATTGAGATATGGGTCTATCTGTGTCAAGACAATGTAATCATAATTTCTTATTGTTAATTACTCAAAATATCAACAAATAAAATCTTTTCCCAAAACAAAACAACTGTTAGCCGTGCTTGTCTTACTAAAACTGTGATACTGGCAGTATGGGATATTTTGATTAAACATTCAGGTTGCTTATTTTGATTAAGTCCCAAACCACAATGTATGGATGATGCTTCATAATAGACAAAATAAATGGAGCCAAACATTTAGAGATCTTTCACGTATTAGCAGAATAGCAGGGGAGATGTTTTCAATCATATTTTACATGCTTTTATAGTAAGAGCTGAAATAGCTTTTCTAATTAAAAGCAGGGTACTTAAGATGAAGACTCCAAAATGAATTGAAACTGATAGTTCATTTGAATTAGTCAAGAGTAAGAAACCAAAACAGTTAATCCACACATTTTGTAAGTCACAAAATAACATTTTCTTCCCACTTTTCAGTAAAGGTTTAATAGCAGAGGCATCCCTGTAGTAAGATCTCATATCACTAAGAATTTGTAACAAAAAATACTACACTATCTTTACAAGTATGCTTCTGAGTAGGGTTGCCGGGCATCCGGTTTTCGACCAGAATGCCCAGTCGAAAAGGGACCCTGGCTGCTCCGGTCAGCAGCGGGAGGCCCCTGTCTGCCCTAGCTCTGTGCGGCTCCCAGAAGGAGCCGCCAGGTCCTTGTGGCACCTAGGCACATGAGCAGCCAGGGAGGCTCCACACGCTGCCCCTGCTCCTAGTGTTGGCTCTGCAGCTCCCATTGGTCAGGAACTGCGACCAATGGGAGCTGCAGGGGCAGCATCTGCGGGCGCAAGGGCAGTGCACGGAGCCTCTCTGGCCACCCATGAGCCTAGGGACTGCAGGTACTTGGCAGCCGCTTCTTGGGAGCTGCGGTACATGCCACCAGGGCCCTGCATCCTGAACCCCCTCCCATACCCCAACCTCCTGCCCCAGTCTGAAGTCCCCTCCTGCACCCAAACTCCCTTCCAGAGCCCCCCCAACAGCTTCCCTGAGCCCCCTCTTGCACCTCAAACCCCTTATTCCCAACCCCATCCCAGAGCCCACACCCCCAGCCAGAGTCCTCACCCCCCACGCACCCCAACCCCCTGCCCCAGCCTGGTGAAAGTGAGTGAGGGTGAAGGAGAGCAAGTGGTGGAGGGAGGGGTGATGGAGCGAGCAGGGGCGGGGCCTCAAAGGGGCAGGGCAGGGGTGTTTGGTTTTGTGCCTTTCAAAGTTGGCAGTCCTACTTATGAGGTATCAAATAATTAAAATGAAGTCACATGATGCATTTTGTGATGAGATAAGCCTTGCTTTTTTTAGTTTGTTTGCTAATGGTCTGATCCTGCCAACTCTTATGCACCTGCAGGATTAGGACCTAAAGGTCCAATCCTGCAGTATGCTAGACACCTTCAACTTCCAGTGAAAGGGAACACCCAGCTCTTCAAAGGATCAGGCCCCTTTCCCCTAAGGGCCTGATCAAAAGTCCATTGAAGTCAATGAAAAAAACCCCATTGGCTTCAATGGACTTTGGCCAGGCTCTAATTTACACTATCTCTTCCAATCTTTAGGGTGAATTAGTGATGTTCTACTGTACTTCCCTTTACAGCTATCTCCCTACAGCTGTATCTAGTCTTGGTTTTTGCTATCCTATCCAATTTATTATTCTTTTTTGTCCCATCCACATTCGTATGTAAGGCTGGGCAATTTTTCCTGATTGAGTCTGTGGTCACGTGGATTCTTTTTTCATCTTTATTTAACCCAGACAAGATATTCAGTTCACAGCACATTTGTTCCTCTAAGGTACCCTGGTGTGGCCTTTCATGTATTCTCATTATACTCCCATAGCTTTTCATGCCCCCTTAGACCATGTTTTCCATGAAGTGATGACTTTGCTGTTATTCACTCTCATCCCTTCTACACTGGAACATTTTTGCCACTAAAAAGTTAGTTAACAAAAAGTATGAAAGTCAATTTTTACTGGATAACCTGGATGCTTTGTGACTAATGCTAAGCAGGGAAGTAGAGCGTTCAACCCAAATAGAACCACACAATTAAATGAACATGAATGCCTCCTGCTCTTGGCCAATATGGGGAAGTTAGTAATTTTACCACTTATGATGGAATGTTAATGTGATCCTGACAGCTGAAGTGAACCAGTTTCACTGCATACTCAGCCCAATGTTGCAAAGCTTCTGTGCATTCAAAGCTCCCACGCATGTCAATGGACATTTTGTGTGTATGAAAGAAATGCAGGATCAGGTCCAAAATCACAGTATATAAGATATTACAGTAAGTCACGTCTTTATTAATTTATTTATTGTAACTTTTCCCCTTATTCCAATCCCATTGTTTGTTGCTGTCATTCATTGTCTAAAATTAGGGCCCTGATCTTGCAGTGCATGGATTGGATTGCAGGATAAGGGTCTAAACTAATCACTTCAGGGCAGATAATGTGATTTTTTTATTTATCTGCAAAGTATCTAATACATTTTTGTGTTCCATATAAATAATAAATTATATACATTTATGAGCATAAGCAAAAAAACCCACTATTAAATTTCAATTAATTCATATACATAGTTTACTATATAAAAAACTATTTACATTAAATAAAATTCTATTTCCAGAGTCCAATTCTACAGACAGTTACTACCAATGTCAATGAGACTTCTTAGAACATTATGCCTGGTAGTGTTTGCAGGATCAGGCCCAAAGATAAAAACAATGAACAATTAAGCCAGCAAAATCAATTTACTCCAATATTAGGATTCAAATCCTGCAACTGGATCAGTGCTCGGTGGACCCTGTACACCTGAGTAGACACACTGACTTTCATGTTTACAGGATGGGACTCAGATGTTTTCTATCCTAGGTAATGCCACTAACGACAAAGTGACTTCTAATGATGGTAGTAACTAGTTTGTAGGATCAGGTCCTGTGTTCCCACTGCAAAAGACTTTTAAAGTTCATGTTTAAAAATTTTCTATTCACTTAAGAAAGAATTCTCAAAATTTTTGCTGCCTCCTTTTTAAGGTGCTTTGAGATCCACTTATGAGAAAAAATATGAGCTAGATATAAATAAAATATTAAATCTTTTTAATCCAACACAGATTTAAAAATCTGTGTTATTTTTGTATCCTAAGTAACATGCTATCACACCATAATTTTATACTACGTAATTATTTGTTACATCAGCATAATAAAACTGTATTACGTATTTTGATGTAGCTATTTTCTTTGTTTGCTGTATAGCAAACAATTGTGGCAAAAGACAAATCTTGTCACTCCGATGAAATCATACCTGCTCTTGAGGAGAGGGGGAAATTAAATCAAGAATATGTAAATCTGTCCAATATTTATCCAGGAGAAATAATAGCGCAGAGATATCAAGCTAACAGTTTTAAGTGAACTTTTACTATTGACATCACATTTCTCCAGCTTCTCGCCCCCCCGCGGGATCAATACTTACACTTTACACAGACGTGCTGTCTGATGCACCACACTGATTTTCACTGCGGCTGCCGTGTTTTGAGAGGCCGGTGTGGAGAAGTGTAAACCCAAGATCGACCAGCAGGAAGACACTGGTGTGCCTCAGACACGCAGGAAGTATTTCCTAGTGCGGGGAACAAGGGAGGGGGGGGAAGCAGTCTGGTGCATCACGTGCTCCCCAAATCTCGCATCCCCAACTCCTGCTATCCCAACTCGGAAGGCAGCAGGCATGCGTGGTGTCCTCCTCCTCGCATGGTGACAGGCTCGCGTTATTGGCACCGAGCGGGGCGGAGAGGAGGAGGCAGGCAGGGGGGGTGGGATTGGCGGGGGCGCTCTCTGGCTCCAGCTGTTCCGACCCACATGCCAGGCCAGCGCGCAGCCCGCAGCAGCCCCGCTTAACGGGCGAGGCAGCGGGCAGAAGTTGGCAAGTCGCTGCTGGGGAAGGGCCGGCGGCTCCAGCGCTGGGGGGGCGGCGGCGGCGGCCTATGAGGGACTCCCGGGCGCCGCAGGGACGGGCGAGCCATGGACGGGGGTGGGGGTGTCTCCTCCTCGGCCCTGGAGAAGAACGTGGCGGAGCTGACGGTCATGGACGTGTACGACATCGCCTCGCTGGTGGGGCAGGAGTTCGAGCGGGTCATTGACCAGCACGGCTGCGAGGCCATCGCCCGCCTCATGCCCAAGGTGGTGCGGGTGCTGGAGATCCTGGAGGTGCTGGTGAGCCGCAATCACATCCACCCCGAAATGGAGGAGCTGCGGCTGGAGCTGGATCGGCTCCGGCTGGAGAGGATGGACCGGATCGAGAAGGAGAAGAAGCACCAGAAGGTGGGGGATTTTTTGGGGGGGGCCGGGGGGCTCTTGTGCATTCACAGCGGAAAGGGGGGGCTCTTGTGCATTCACAACGGAAGGGGGGGGCGCAATGCTAAACTTGTCCCGCCCGCTTTGCCTTGGGGGAGAAGTGCTCGGACTCCTCTGCAAACTCCTGGAGGGACCCACCGCCCGGCTCTGGGGCGGGGCTGCCGCCCCCCTAAGTCCTGCCCCGGGCTGCCGCCCGAGGCTGGGACTTCCCGCCGCTGTCGTCCCGCTCCCCCCCCGGCCTTTGCAGACTTTCTGCGCTCGGCGGATTCGAACACAAAGAGCGAGGGGAGCCGCCGGGCCGGGGGCGGGGCCGGGGCGCCAGAGGACATGGGGATGGAGGTGGGAACGGGCCCGGCTCTGAGTGCGAGGGAGCGGGGGTGTGCCAGGTACAGACCGCTTCACGTAGGGACTTTTCCCCGGGGAGATCCGCCGCCCGTGTCCCCTTGCCTCCTGCTTAGCCCGCCTCGCCCTGCAGGCAGCGGCCCTCCCGGGAGCCGAGCAGAATCCCCGGCCAGAGAAGGCGGCTCGTGCCGCAGCGCTCCGTGGGAACTCTGAGGACAATGCCCTGGGGCGGGTAAACAGCCTGCTCCTTAGCCCGACGGGGAAAGACCAAGAGGTAGAAAGCCTGAGCCCAGCAGAACTTCAGCGGGTCTGGCTCCCAGACTCCTGCTCAGTCCACTAGGGCGGCTCTGGGGCTGGCCATCTGTCCGTCCAGGACAGGGGGTGCTCTGGGACTGTGGGGCCTATTTCCGTTCCCTCTGTGCGGTGTCCAGTGACTCCTTAGGGTCTGGCTACCCTGTAATTAGACACCTGCAGCTGGCCTGTGCCCGCTGACTGGAGCTCATGGGGCTTGGGCTAAGGAGCTGTTTAATTGCCGCGTAGAAAGCCCAGCTCCAGCTTGGAGCCTCCCACCTTGCAGGGTTCTAGAGCCCAGGCTGCAGCCCGAGCCGGAACCTCTGCACTGCAATTAAGCAGCCCCTTAGCCTGAGCCTTGCGAGTCCGAGTCAGCTGGCACGAGCCAGCCACGGGTTTTTAATTGCAGTGTAGACATACCCTTAAGACACCTTTGAGGAGCAGTGGGCACTGCCTGGGGTCCTCTGTTCACTGTCCTCTTCTGGTCCCCTGATTTTCAACCTTTGACCTCACTTCCATCCCTGTTTTTTCCTTCACTGTCCCACACACTCACTCACTTGTAGCCTGCACTTAGTGGTTCCTCAGGTTTAGCTGAGGGCGTGGGCCTTTAATATTGGGTGGGCCTAGGCCCACCTCTCCCAGATCTGAAAATGGTGTGGCCTCTCTGAGGAGCAATGCAATATTTGGACTAAGCTGCTACCAATAAAGTGCTCCCACTCCTGCTCACCTGGATGCCAGAGACAGACATCCTTTCTCAAACCCTGTTACCCTAATGTGGCAGCAGGTCAGCATGAGCTGCTTTGATTATTGTACTAGAAGTGATCGGGTTTATTTAGAAAACTATCCAAATGACTGTGATTTGGATAAAAATTGCTTCTTTTAGCAAACTCACTCCTGTGCAATCACTCGTGTCTTCTTGTATTGCTAGTTGCTGACACAGATACAAAATAAAGATATTTATAGAATTTCTCAAAGCTAACCCCACAAACTCAACACATATAGTTAAATACAAAACTTCCCCAAACCCTGCAAAGATATCAGGTAGAAATTTAGCTAAATATATTAAAAAGCCCAGTGCTGGCTTTTAAAACTAACATTTTACAGATAGGAATTGTGTGCAATAGTGCCTTTAGAAGTGAAGGAGAAAAAAAGTACTGGTAAATCCCTAGAGAGTGATCTCATCTCTTTTGATCCACATAACAGACACAATACGGGCATGAGCAGATTCTCTTCCCACTCCTCTTTCCTTGCCCCCCACCTGATCTAGAGAACTATCTCTGAATGAGCAGGTAACTCATTCTCCAGCCCTCTTCAATCCTTGGTCCCTCTGCTAGAATGGGACTGTATCCCTTGACACCTAACTCTCATGGCATTTTTGTGACCAGAGCACCTGTCTGGTAAAAACTACTATGATTTGAGACCCACCAGCTTATTTTACAGGGGCCATCAAAGATTGAGGTGGTAAAAATCACTTTTTCACTATTAAAAGAGAATGCTACCTATAAAAGAGAATGCTATAATGGGTAGCAGCACCAGAAACTTTAATATTAGTTGATATTCAGTGTGAACACTTCTAAAAGTCAGTGCATGTTTTTAAAAAGAAAAGTTTACCTATATATGTGATCATCACATGTCATTCTAGGGGCTACACAGTGTGTGGGATCTCTGCATGCTTTGTGTCTGGGAAAAAGTTTAAGCACAGATGTAAGTTTTTCCCATAGAACATAAATATTTCAGGGTAGAGAGAATGGTAATACACATTAATATCTGTAACATGGGGATCAGTTTGTCATTCCCCTGTGCTTCTCCAACAGTTCAGCCCCCAACAGAGATCATTCCATCTCTGTCTATTCTGTGAAGCACCAAGCACATTCTTGGAAACTATAAAGTAACAACTACATGAGGCTGAATTTTGGACTAAAATGACTGTGTAATTGGGCCTGAAAATGGATGGCAGTGTGGTTTCATAGACACATAGGACTAGGAGGGACCACCTCGGCCATCAGATCCAATCCCATGCTGTCTCCGGCATCCCCATCATAAAATCCATCATAAGTCTATTAAGTTTCTCCTTAAAACAATTCAGGTTGTTTGTCCCTACAACTTCCAGTGGAAGGCTCTTTTAGAACCTCATTCTTCTTATGCTTAGAAACCTTTTTCTAATTTCCAGCCTAAATTTATTCATGGCTAGTTTATACCCAGGTGTTCTTATGCCAACATAGTCTTCTAATTTTGTAATAAAGAGTTTTTATTTAGATCTATCATTAGGGGATGGAAGGATCTGATTTTTATTGATAAACATTGGTTTCACGGCACACACGCAAACGGACAAAAAATATTTCCATCAATAATAATCAAAACTTATAGACAAGCAAAGGAAGGAAAATGCTTGTTGAGAACTTCTTAGAGTTTGATTTAAGGATATTTACTTTATATATTTTGACATGTGTTGTTGACAATTTGTATTTTAACAGTTATAAAACTAACTTTTTGAATCTCAAAGTCTACTGTTATTAAATAATTATTGTCTGAACTCTCCCTTATCTGACTCCCTCCCATAACTTCCCACAACTTTGAAAATTTAAAACTGAAGCATTTTTCCTGATTTTTTTTAAACCCATAGTTTGCACAACTGTGAACATTTATAAAAATTTAAAATAATTGCTTAAAAATTGATATTATCCATCAAAATTATTTAAAAAATTAATTCTGCCAAGCCTATCTATCATGGTTTATTTTCAGCAAAGTTAACTGTAGCTCTGTGTTAGAACTGTGCTTTGATTTTGAAGTTTCACATAGTTACAACTCGCTCCCGTAGAATTACATGTGGAAAAATGAGCAAGTAGCTCAGCCTAGGATTCCATGTTCTGAGCATGGCTTTCTTGTTAATCACAGCACATACATTAAAGTGGAGCATAGATTGCCCACAGGGAGAAATGCTGATATTTGGGTTGAAGCTTTCAAAATAAAGATATAAATATAGTCTCCACTATTCCAGGAGGCCTTTATACTTAGTATCCTGATTTGACCTGTCCTGGAATTGGTAACAGCTGCACTTGACACAAAGTGGCCTGAATAAAGGTAGTTACTATTTTGAATAGTTTTGCTGTTCTCTGTGTAGTTGACACTGCAAAATGTGATTACAGTATATTAGAATAAGAAAAAGCAAGCATAAGCTAATGGTTAAAACAAGCCTGGGTAACAGGAGCTCTGGGTTCCAACATGGAAAAACTCCTCTATGTTCTACAGTATCATACATAGCACCATCACGAATCTAAACTGTACTGTTATGGAACATTGTGCTCTTTAAAAAATAAAAAAATAGCATGTCCATCTCTGCCACTGACTGACCTCACAAGTCTTGTGAGCTGTGTGTTTATACTACACTTTAAGGCTGCTGCCTAGAAATCAGGGGACCTGGGCTCAATTCGTGCCTCTTATATGGACTTCTGATGTGACCTTGAGAAAGGCAACTGAGCCATACAGAGATTACGTGGCTGTCTGTGAAAGGGGAGTAATAATTGAGGTCCTTGGCTAGAAGTTCAGAGTATTATCATAAAAGGATAGCTTTAGAGGAGAATTGCTAGTGTATTCTCCAAATAGTTTTGGGCAAAGGCTATTGATTTTATATATTACAGCATTAATGTTCTGTCATGATCCGGCTTTACTTTAGGAATTAGAACTGGTGGAGGATGTATGGAGAGGGGAAGCACAGGATCTTCTTACCCAAATTGCTCAGCTTCAGGAAGAGAACAAACAACTGATGACAAACCTGTCACACAAAGACATCAATTTCACAGAAGAGGAATTTCAGAAACATGAAGGCAAGTTTAACTTTTGAAATTCAGTGATGGTATCTTTGGGTTGTTTTTTTTTTTAAAGTCATTCCTGATCAAAATGTCTTGATTGTACATTTCAGCTTGTTCCTGTAGATTGTTGCAGGTCTGTTTTATCAGGATACAAAAGCTGTGAATAAATTCTGGAAACAAAATAAAGATTGGAACAGAGTTATTCACTTGTTTGGATGAGAAACAATTTTAAAAAGCAAAACCTAGTTTTCTTTTGGTTTAACATAAGATTTTTTGAGGATAGCAACTTGTTAAAAATTTCCTTTAATGAGTTTTTTTAATACAGATAGATCTAACCACTTAATAATTGTATATGTAGGATAGTGCGGAAATATACAAATCAGCATTCACACTTGGGCATTTAGTTCAGCATAATTGATCGTAAAGCAATTATTCAGGCTCCCTTCTGCTGAATTGTCAGAATACTAATTAATCCACAACAGGCAGTGTTCAGGGGTGGGGGAATTCATATTTTAAAAAAATCACCATGTGGTCTCAGATGTCTTGCCAGAACTTCAGAAACCATCTCAATAAATTGCACAAAGAGGGGGAAGTGGTTACAGGAAGGAATTAAACACTAATTCAGGCCTCATAATGAGTTTTATTTTGGGAGAGAGGCTAAATTTATAATCAGGACAGTGCGTAAGCACCAAGGAGAGAGAGCCAGTAACTTTAAGCACTTGCTTCATCTCAGTTCTCAAGTTCGAAGGCTAGCTGGGAGGTTTTGTCTCACATAGTATTAAATGGGCAGAAATCTGATTAGCTGATCATAGTCCTGAACCACAATCCAATACTGCAATTGGTTCTGTGTGGACAGATGCTAGTGCCCATCTGCAGCCATGCTGACTTCACTGGGTCTCTGCACAGACAGAGATATCCACTTGCAGGATCACAGCCTATTAGTACAACTGCTCAAATCAAAGATCAGAGTAAACATTCAGCTCATTTAAAAAATTTTTAAAAGTAACAGCACTTCATCTAGAGACCTTAAAAAAGTCGGGCACTTACTAGTGACTAATGGCACTTAACCCTTTGCCTCCGCAATGCACCTGCTTCACCAGGGCTGAATTCAAAGCTTAGACTTGAGTACCCTTGTACTTGATCTGCAGAGAGCATTAATGTCATATTACAAAGGAGGATCTCTTACCCTCTCAAGATCACTATTTCTTTAGAATATTTCTTTAGCTCTTCCAATTTAACAGGCTGTATTTGAGCTAGTTTTCACAATTTCCTTAGAATTTAATGGAATATTGATTCCATGAAAAGTGTCAGAATACGAAATAAATAAAGAGGAGTCAGACTATAAAAAAAAAAATTAGAAAAAACAACATGTCAATGGGTGACCCAGCTCAGTGTCGTCTGCATGCTTGTATTTAAATACAGTAATAACTCTTGAATGTAGATAGCCAAGCAGGTGCCAGACATGCTTTTCAATGTTATTTTTACTTTGTGTGGTAGAGAGACAGAAAAAACTATGAGAACACAAATACTCTAAGGGCCAACATCTCATTTACTTCAGTGAGAGCAGAATTTGACTCAAACGGATATAGATTAACAATGATCCTAACTGGGATTCCCTTATGTCTGACATCGGGAGTTACTGATGCCTATTCCCACTGGAGAATATTGCTTGTTAACAATTGGGACCAGGACTGGACTGCACATCATGTTAAAGTTTTGATTTGTTCTGGTAGGAAACACTGAAACAGATGCTTGATTTTAAGGGCAACTGATTGACAGAGTAGAAAAAAAAATAACCAGACACACAGTGAGTTGCTGAATGCAGCTTTCCAAGTCCCAAAGCTCAGTTCATGTAGCTGTAATCAGGTTCTAATCTTTACACCCTAGCATTACTTAGTAGGCGTGATCATGGCTCCTAGTGGCTGGCCTCAGGGACTAACAGTCTGATGCTTAATCAGCAGATAACTACAGAAGTCCTCTCTAGCTCAAGGAGCAGAGGCCTGTGGCTTTGGTGTTAAGAACTCAGGTTCAATCCCTACCAATGACTGTGGTATCTGAATGTACGTAGCCTCAGTTTACTACACTTGAAACTCCTGCACCCCACTGCATTCATATCCCCCCTGAAAACAATTCTTCTGTGTGGTCTTTCAGTGATAATGAGAGCTTGTGGTTGCTGATAATGAAACCACTGCCCAATAGTGTGTCACTGTTTCCTTGCACTGTTCTGGCTGCATCTGGCTTCTCTTGTCATATAGTTAGATGGTAAGCTCTTTGGGGCAGGGACTGACTCTTTGCTTGGTGATTGCACAACCTGTAACACATGGGTGTCCTGCAGTATTGTCATCAAAATCAGCATTTCCTTTGCCACAACAATGGCTTAAAGCCACTTTATAGTAGTCCCGAACCCCTATCCTGACAAGCAGGGTTCATCTCTGCAGCTGCTGTGTAGGGCGACAGGCAGGAGAGAGAGGCTGCTATCCCTTCTCCAATGCTGCTTTCCTATTTCTGAGCCTGATTCTGCACCATGGAAGTCAACGGGATTTTTGCCAGGGACTTCAATGTGAAGAGGATCAAACCCCCTCTCTCAGCAAAGGCAGTAGGAACTGCAGTGGGTCTCAACCCAGCTGTCTGAGCTCTGCTACCCTCCAAACCCAAAGAAATCACAGAATTTGATTCCCCACCCCTGGGACCACAGGAGAAACCAGTAGCCCTAATTCTGAGCATTCCTGACGCATCTCAGTCTCCCACACAGCTCAGGTTTTATACAGGCAGCTCTCAAGTTTCTCAGGGAAATTGGTTCAAGTTGTCGTCAACTGTCACAGCACCTGCAAAACTCCCATTGTCTCAGCATCATGGATATTCTAGGGAAATCACAGAATCTATGACAAATGCAGTATTAATAATAACCCACCTCCATGCACCGAGTGTATTTAAAGGAAATATTCAGCAGCAACAGAAAGGTAGACATGTGAACCTGTGTATCATATATGTATAATAATGTTTAGCCAGTACTCTGCATCTATATAGACTGGTGTCCTTTGGAGCAAGGACTTCTGTACTTTGAATAAACACACTCGCTGTGCTCACACAATTAAAGGGCAACCTAGTGAAATACTTCTAGTGGCCTTGTTCCATAAGACAGCTCTTTTAGCTTGAAGAATGGCCTGTAGCAACTCATCCTTAGGTATGCAGGACAGAACAGCAGTAAGCGTGAGCCCCTGGTCTTTGGGAGTTGAGCAGAGGCCTTCAAGAAGCAGAGCAAGGTTAATATGAAAACTGTGTGGGAGAAAACAGAATTCTAAGTAAATACAGCAGGATCTTGGGCTACAGCTGCAATGTTAAAAATGTCACTCCTACTCATGAGACCAAATTAATACCTGGTGTAATGCCAGTGACTGAACAGAATATATCCCTGGTGTAACCCCCACTGATCCAAGGAGCTGGCCCAAGGCATGTCAGAGAGGGCATAGAGATACACTTCTCAGCTTATAGAGCAGCACAGATAACATGACAGGAGGTCACACATCCTGCCATCTCAGGTAGGATCAGCATTGTGATGGGTACAATAAGCAGGAGATCCCAACAAACAAGAATCACAAAAACCTCTGAAGTATGTGTTCTAAAGACACTCTGTTACTCCCCACTTCTCATCAGATCCTGACTCAGACTTGGTTTGGTTCCATTACTTAGGCCAGTTTCAGGTAAGAGACAGTCTAGAGTCTTAAAGAAAGCATTACTGAGTCAAGTTAACTCTTCTGCCTAGAGATATGGCCTATGGGCCAAATCCTGGAATGTGCAGAGCAACCTCAGCTCAGTCTAGTAAGGCAATGGGAGTTGAGGGCTGCCCTGTAGCTCTCTGGATCAGAGCCTACAATCGCCAGGGAGGAGATGAGATTTTGCATCTGCTTATCCTGGAACCGGTCCTACCCCATATTTGGATCTTTAGTCTGACTTCAAGTGTCATATTGTAACATCAGACAACTCCTTCTTGGAGACCGTAGCCTGCACTTGCATGGAGACATCCTCAACGATCTCATAAGCCTTGTCCCACATCTTTAATTTCCATGATCCTTAATCCCTTTGATGAAAACTCAGACAGGGCCTGAACCTGCTCCCAAGGAAGTAAGTAGAATCAAGCCCTTAAGACTTCATAATTTTCCTGACAGGGGATAAGTCAAGAACCCTTAACCATGATCTAGACAGTTCCTATTAAAATCCTCTTGCAAATGTAGGGGCAAGCATTATATTTAAATTAAAGTATTTATATTGTGGGCCCTGTGCCCTGCTCTACAAATACATCAGAGTCCCTGACCATAAACAGTCAAGATTTTTTTTAAACTGCTTGCTTTCTTACCATCCCATGGAACAATGCATTGACCACGCCGATCCAGAGGAAATTGCTGATGGGATGTGCTTAGGGAAACCAGCCGGGTGTGCCATTTTAAGATCTTGCAGATACACAACTTTGAATCATTTAGGATTAATTATTTCACACTTAAACATGCAATGCATGGTTAAGAAAACGTAGAGGAGCAAAATGATTGGGGAACAAAAACATCCCCACCCACCCTTGTCCTGGAAAAAAGCCCAGTGATCTGTTTATACATTTGAAATCTTCAATATTCACCAAGAGTTAAAGAGGAAAACAAGAGAGGAGGGGGGAAAGAGTTAACTGAACGTTAGAATGAGACTTTACTCCTTAAATAGCACCTGCTAGCTATGAATCTCAAACACTTTCCTCATGAGTAAGGTATGGGAGAAACTTGCTAATCCGCATACTTTTTAGAACATGCTAGTCCTTCTGTACTTTGAAGGAAAGTTTTTAAAGGCAGGTGTTTTAGGCCCTGTTCTTGCAACTGGCTCCGCATGGGTGGGTCCCAGTGCCCACACAGAGCCAAACTGATATTTGCTAGCAGGCGATAAAGCATTATCCATAAAAATGGAACTACTGTTGACAAGATACCTGTGTAAAGGCACACAGTGCTCAGCTATGCTGGCTTGTTCATGTACTCATTTGTAATGGGACTCTCGCTCCTTTGTAAGGGTTAGCAGGGGTCCATTGTATTACCATTCCTGTTTTACAAATCGGGAAACAGAAACACAAAGGTGCAGTAACTTGCCCAAGATCGTACAGGGAGTCAGCAGCAGCACTGGGAATAGGATCACAGTGTCCTAGCTTCCCAGGTGTGTGCTTCAACAGGAGAGTGCAGACACAGTGAAAAGGAAACCAGTTTGTAGTCCAGGAGCCCATTTCTCTTCCCCACAGGAGACCAGTAACACCCACTGAAGTGAATGAGAATCATGGGTCTCTTGCAAAGCAGTAGAGACTGGAGAGAGAGAGAGAAAATCAGGCCCCAGAAGTAGGGCTGGCAGGTTAAAGCAGTTTGCTGAGAAATAAAAGAAAATAAATATAAGACAAATAAGCTCACCAGGAACATCTGAGTCACTCCAGAGGCTTCATAGATTTTGACAGTAACACACCCTCCAAAACAACAGCTTTTCCTGTATACCACTCCTCCCTCCAACTCCCTGGTAGAGGTTCCCTTTCTTCTGCTTTTGCATAGCTCAGGTAGCTCCCTGACTTCCTTTGCAGTAGCAGATGGGAATTACTACTCTCCCCCTCTGCAGTCATGTGCTTTTGCAACTCATAAGGAACCTGCACCTGTTCCAAATTGCAAGCTGTAGAAAAACTGGCAGTCAAAGGCAGGCTCCCTGCAGGGGCGTGGAATTATTCACTCTCTCCCACCTATTTGTCTTGCTTGCTCTTCATGCACTGTTAACATCAGTGCTCTTGAGGGCAGGACTCTTAAAAGGGTTCTACTCTGACTTGGGGTGAGGGAGTTTTTATCACCTGGGATTGGGGTCTATCCACACCCCAAGTGACAAAAGAAAAACAGTAAGGAATGAGTCAGCTCACAATACAGAGCAAAGAACAGACACTGCAAATCCAAGGTGGGTAAATCTGCTTATACAGCACATTGCAGCTGAGAATTGCCAAAGTGTGTTTAAAAAGGGCTTTGAATTTGGCCTCATAATTACCCCATTGTGGTAAGTAAATTATTATTATCTCTAGTTAATAGAGGGGAAGGCTAAGGAACAGAGAGGTTAAGTGCCTTGCTTAAGGTCACACAGCCAGTCAGTGGCAGGACTAGGCAAAGAACCCTGGATTCTGAATCCCAGATTCTTGCTTTAACCACTAAATTGCACTTTGGCCAGGGCATCTCTAGTGCCCTTGTTGATAGCCCATTAGCTCCAGGCCACCCTTTCACTGGCACAGAATTATGTATCTATATTAGATACAGTTAAGTTATCTTACTTGATCTGTTAAGAATATCAAACTATAGGTCTCTGTAGAATGATTATTAGCTGTGAAGCAATTGCAATGAATTTATAATCTCCCCATTTTAAACACTTGGTTACATTAGCAGGACAGTATGGTATTGTTCTTTGTTGCTATACTGCCCACAACTGCAGTTCTTAGGTGCTCGATCTTTCCCCCATACTGGTCGTTAATGGGGGAGAGTTTCCAGTTTTGTGATTTTGATATTATCCTAATGAATTGTTGGTCAAACTACAGGTTAATTTAATCCCTTGTTAATCTTTTAAACAGTATTGATGGAAAGATTTTTGACAACACTTCAAACAGGCTTTACAAGGAAATTCTATTCCCCCTCCCCCGTAAAGTGTAATTATTTTAAATCTGAATCACTACAATGAGAGAGAGGAAGTTAGAATGGAAAAAAACATATATGGAATGATCCTAACTCAGATTAAACTCCTGTTAAATTTGCTCTGACTTTGGACTGCAGGATCTAGGAAACTAGAAATGGAGATGCAGAATGTTAGTTCAGGCCCCAGTATAGTGACATGTGTATAAAATCAGACTAGATCTTACCAATGCAAAATACCATCTCCCACTCCAGAGAGAGAACCTTTTTCTTCATTAAATAGAAAACTTTGTAGGGAGTGCTAATTAGATTACACATCATTCATCCATTGGACCAGTACATAAATATCACCATTGGATATGTCCTATAGAAGCACAGTAATGGTATTACATACATTTGTTTATAAATATATCAGAAGCATATTCATCACTTTTCAGTGTTGGTTTACACCCTGTAAACTGCATAGCCTGTTTTCCCATCATCTGTGAATCCAGTGTGTTGGCTAAATAACCGTTCTTTCTTTATCCAAGGTATTTAACCAACAATCTCTCCCCCTTTGTTGGCTGAATCAGACTATGTCCAGTGTCTTTCCCAAATGTCATGATCATTCTCAGTTTATTTTCTTTGTGCTGTTTTCTTTAAACCAGGAATGTCCGAGAGGGAGAGGCAAGTGATGAAGAAGCTGAAGGAAGTGGTAGATAAACAAAGAGATGAGATCAGAGCCAAGGACCGGGAACTGGGACTTAAAAATGAGGATGTGGAGGCAGTAAGTGTTTCTTGCCCTTTTCCCCCCCTTGAAGGAACCACACAGATGTTTATGACAAGTTTTAAATTAATTTAGTGCTTGTGAAGGCCAGATTATTATCCCTGAAGAGTCAAGTCGTCTGTGTATCTGTAGAAGAGATTGTGAGCTCTTCAGGGCAGGCACCAAACCCTCTTCTGTGTCTGGAAAGAACCTCGCACATTGCGGGCATGACTAGAAACCAAGAATGATAAGGGAGCAGATTTTTCACAGGCCCAAAGGGGAATTGGGTGCCGAACTCCTATTGACTTTCAGTGTGAACGGGGCACCTAACTCCCCTAAAGGCTTTAGAAAATCTCCACTTAGGCAATGCAAACTTTTCCACACGGCTCACATGGCCCAGCTTCGCCCTTGGAGGCATCAGCTCTAGACAGGAGATGGCTGCATGGCCCATTAAGCTTTACTTTTCTCTGCTGAGCCTGTCAACAAGGAAGCCCCACTGGGGTGCTATTTGTGATGCAGACACCTGCTCCCTAGAAACAGGGAGTGAAACCACTATGTCATTTCACATACACCATCATCAAGGAGAGGATGGATGGGCTTGTGACTCAGACTCTGGACAGGACTAGGGAGACCTGCATTCAGTTCCTGACTCTGCCACAAACGGTGTCCTTGAGTAAGTCACGTAATGTCTCCTTTACCGCAGTTCCCCACAGTTCCCCATCCCATCTTATAGCTGTCCCATCTATTGAGATGGTAAGCGCAGTAGGGCAGGGACTACATGTATGTACAGCGTCTGGCACAATGTGGCTCTGATGTTGGTTGGGGTCCTCCAAACACTACCGTCATACAAGTAACTAGGTGAAAGCTTGTGCTGTCATGCAGGTCTAATTCATAAAGTGTAAAAAGGCCAACAATGGCTCTGAACTTAAAAACTGGACAGTGAGAGACTGCAAAACCCAGTGATGACTGAAACTGGTGATATTCTAAACAAAACAAGCTCTCCTGTTAACACCACGCTTGTAGCTGTTTCCATCACGTCACACTGACTCAACAGAAATGTTAGGCTTCAGAGTGACAATCCTGGCATCTTCTTACATAGTTTGATGATTATCAGACAGTAATAACCTTGATCACTTCCAGTCTAGGTCAAAGCTTGATCCAGTATCCCATGAGCCATCCAGTCCCTGAACCTTGCTTTTCTGAAATAGATTCCAAAGAGAAATGTCGCATTTGAAAAGCTGGATATGTCCGGAGGATAATGTTCTGTGCTGCGGGGGGGGAACAAACTCCATTTACCCTGAAAGCCAACTGTAGAGACGGCAACTGTAGCAGATTAATTGATTAAAAATGAATGGGGAAATAAAGGAGATCTTTCAAGATAAATACAACAGGAACATATTGCTAGTTCTTTAATTTAATACTTGTGATTTAATTTACCCTGGTTTAATGGAGGCATACTTATTGTGTCACTTTATGGCAGCTGCAACAGCAACAGAACAGGCTAATGAAAATTAATCATGACCTTCGGCACAGAATCACAGTAGTTGAGGCTCAAGGGAAAGCGCTGATTGAGCAGAAAGTGGAACTGGAAGCCTATCTGCAAACCAAGGAACAGGAGATGGGCACTTTGAGGGTGGAGCTTGGGAAGCTGAGAGAGAAGCAACCAGGGGAGCACAGCCAAAATGGAGAAGAAATAAAGGTAAGAGGCACTTGATTCTCCCTGGGCAAGTGACTCCCATCATCCTGTGGGACAACTGCATATCCAGGGGTATATTGTGCCATCGGATTTGGAGTGTAGATCCCCTCTGATTTCAATGGGAATTCTGATCAGATGGCCTGATACAGCTGTGAGACTGGACCCTGGGATAAGTAGCAATTTGGATTAAAGATCTGTGTTGCTTAGTGACCAAAACGTTCTCCGGAATTTATGGGCATCAGTTTGAACAGCAGTGCAGAAACTCTCAAAATTAGTACTGCCCTCCAAATGTGATGAACCTCCAACTATTCACGTCCCTCCCAAAACACCCGGCTGCAAGCTTCAGCAGAGTCACATTAAGAAAGGTGGACATTCAGCTAGAAAGAATCAAAGGTCCACCCATCCGTTCCCATAGATAATTACAAAGTGATGATGTAATGCTGTTGTAAGCTATAGTATCTTTGGACTGTTAGTGTAGTGAGAGGCAGTGTGCTCTAGTGGATAGAGCATGGGGTGGGAGCCAGGAATTCCTCAATTCTAATGGCATAGAGAGCTGCATAGTTTTGATCAAGTAACTTTTGCTACATCTACACTGCAGGTGAAAGTGTGACTGTAGTAGGGGTAGGCATACCTGAGCTAGCTTTAATCTAGTTGGCACAGGTAATAGTAGTGAAGATGGGTGGCATGGGCTGGCAACCTGAATGTGTCCAAGTTCCGTGGTGGCTTGTACTCAGGTGGCTAGCCCATGCTTCCACATCTATACTACTATCTGTACTAGCTAGATTAAAGCTGGCACCCTTAACTCTTGGCCTCTGTCTTGCTATATATAAAGTGGGGGATGATAATACTTACCCAGCTTTAGTAAGGCATTTGAAGAACTGGGGAGGCCCTATAAAGTTCTATTCATTCTTTGCAGTGTAAACGCTTGATGTGCATTTGAGGCATCCAGGCCGTGGCAGGGCCTGTGTTAGGATGTCTTATTTCCAGTTAACACAATAAGTAGTAATACCATGTGTTTATAACTTCATAGGGTAGCCAGCTGGGAATAACTGCAGCCCAGAGGTAGCCAGTCCTATCGTCCTATAGATGTGGCAGCTGTTCATTCAAATACTGTGTTGATGGCACTCTTCAGTGATGGAATAGTTCTATATTGAATAAGAAAATCTCATCTATGCATTTAGCAACCTGTCGAGCTGCTGTCATATGCATCACAGGAAGTGTGACTTTCTGATTGCATGACAGATCACAGAATTCTCCAGATACAGTGACAAATAGTTGATTTGGGAGAGCAGTATTAAATGTGCCTCAGGCAAGCCAAAATATCTCTAGTGTCAGCTGTTGGCTTATATTCAAGGCGGCCGGTATTTTGTTGTTCTTGGTTTTTGTCGTCTCCCCCCCCCCCCTAAAATATTTAGTGTTCCAAAATGCAGCAGCTGAGCGGTTTTAATCTTCGCCCTGTCTATACAGCTGTAAATTCTAATGGGTCCCCCAGGCGATACTGTTATTGGTCATTAAAAAGTTTATGGTATTGGAGCAGTAGCAGTCCCCATGTTCTGCAGTAGGCGAGGTCTCTCTTCATTTTACAGACACATCACTGTTCAGTGGAATTCAGCCTGCTAGAACATTAAATCTCCTCTTTTCCCTCCCGCCCCCCTGCAGGACAGGTGGAAATTTTAGGCTCCCAGGACTTGAACGTGGGCCTAAAAGTATCACGGGAGGAGAAGCTGGCTACTGACATCGAGGCTTGAAACCTATGCTTAGTCTCACTGAAGTGAAATGGGATTTTCTGCTGGCCTCATTAGGAAGAGGATGCCTAAGACATAGGGTTTATCCTGGTGTCCTTGGCTTAGAATTTCTTTTCCCCATCCACTCCACTTGTGTGCAGTGTGTCAGAAGGCATCTTCCCTCCACCCCACATCAAAGGTGCTGTGTGACTGTCATGCACATTGGAGTGGAAAGGTGCTATGGAGATGTAAATGATGGTCTGACTTTCTTTTCTGGTCCCTGGCTTTCGCTTTGTTTTACTGAGGGTTAGAGACTTCTATTTCTTTACGGCTCAGGGTTTTCTCTAATAGTTCTGTGGCTCTGAATCCTCCCAAATTTTGTGGGAGGTGTTATGATTTGGGTTTTCCCCATATCTAGTTCCTACAGATGACCGCTCTGTATAAAGCAGCATCAATGATCACTGCCCAGGCTTCCCCGATCCACCTTCATAGGCCTGCAAGTTATTGTACTGAAAATCTGCAGTAAAATCTGAGTGAGTTAAAAATCTCCTGTGTGTTACAGCGTTTGTGGCGAGGAAGCAGAAGTGTTTATATATAGTTATGGTTGAGTTCCAGTTTCCATTCTAAAGCTTCCCCCCCGCCCCCATGTTTTTAAAACCATTCCTCTTTTTGGGAAGAAACTTCCCATTGGTCTGCCTTTTTCTGAGTGTGTGTATGGGGGAGGGTGGAAGGAATGTACTGTACTTGGAGCCTAACTTTCCTTTCACTACTTCTACTGGTATAAACCATGAATAACCCCACTGAAGGGGAGAGGGATAACTCAGTGGTTTGAGCATTGGCCTGCTAAACCCAGGGTTGTGAGTTCAGCCCTTGAGGGGGGCCATTTAGGGATCTGGGGCAAACATTGGGGATTGGTCCTGCTTTGAGTAGGAGGTTGGACTAGATGACCTCCTGAGGTCCCTTCCAACCCTGATATTCTAGGATTCTAAGTTAGTGGAGTTACCAGTCTAAAACTGGTGTAAGGAAGAGGAGAATTGGGCCCTGTATCTTTTGCACTTGCGTAACTTAAACAGTTGACTGTCTAGAAACTCCAAACTTGGCTCATTTCACAGCCTTCACAGGAAGGAAAAAGAATCTGTGTGTCTGAAGAACATCAGTTTATTGGCTTTAAAGGGAGATGAAGCTGTTACTAAAATGTAGGATTGGGAGTAAGATGACTTGGATTCTATTTCATTTTCTACTACAGACTTCTTGGTGACCTTGGGCAAATCACTTAACCTGTCTACAGCTCAGTTATGGGAGAGAGAGGCAGGGATGGAGGACCTGGTTTACATATTTAATGTAGATTAGAAGCACATTGTAAATCAGCCCCTTGACTTGGCTGTAGCTTGACTGTAGATGGGCCCTCTGAATACCCTGCATGGATGCTTCAGGTCGTTCTTTGTTGGCTTTAATGTATTGCTTCAATTTTCAGTATCCAATTATTGCAGGCAGATGAATCTTGCAGTCCTAATAATGACCATTATGGGGCCTGTTACCCTACAGAGGGGCAGTGTAGTTATTAGTCACCACCACTGAAGTTGAGCACAGAATATTTACCTCTCTATCTACATTAGAATAGAAACCCCAACAGAACAGTTGACTGAGGAAAAATAAACATTTTTGTCCTTTTAAAAAAAACAAACAAACAAAAAACCTGAATAATATAAAACCACTTCAAACATACCTCCTGGATTTACAGTGCACATGGCCTATGTTAGTCCTTGTTAACACATACCTTTAAAACTTAATTGTGTCATCTTGCTACAGATTTGAGGGGGAGGGGTTTCTCACAGTAAATCTAACTATTTGTAAATTGTCTCTATACAGCACCTAGCAGAGTAGGGTCCCGGTCTCAGTTGTGGGCTCTGTGCTGCTGTAATCTAACAAGTACAGCACTTTCCAGTAAGCCATGTAAATTATTGGCATAGAGATCTCTCCAAACTGCAAATCTGTGAGAGATCCCTGAAATGTACTGCCTGCCTGCATTCTCTATACCGGATACCTTAACGTTTCTGTTTGGGTCTGTTGTTCCCTGGGTAACTTCTTGCTCACACTACTGTGTGGTGTTTGGCAACATCTCAGCAGATAACTGGCACATGCCCTCTGAAATGGAGTAGCACACAGCTTTCCAGGTACAAAGCTGGAGAGATAGGCTGCCCTGCAGCAAAATGTTTATAAACCTATCCAAGCACTTGATGTACTTGACCCTTTTTGCTCTTGGAGAGGTTACAAGCTTTGGGGAAACTCACCTGCCACTTGTGTTTACATCTATGACTGAAAGTAGGGGCTGAACCATGTATCTTGAACCACAAATAGGAATGGTCACTTCTGACGGACACACAAGTTAACCCCTGGGAGACCACAAATATAAAATAGAGGTGTGTGTGTGTGTTGTGCACATGCACACACTATAGGGATATATTTATCCCATGGAGATCATATCATGCATCTTTGCCTCATGTGCACTCTGTCCCCTAATCCAGCCCTCTGGGGAATATTTCCTACATAGAATCATAGAATATCAGGGTTGGAAGGGACCCCATAAGGTCATCTAGTCCAACCCCCTGCTCGAAGCAGGACCAATTCCCAGTTAAATCATCCCAGCCAGGGCTTTGTCAAGCCTGACCTTAAAAACCTCTAAGGAAGGAGATTCTACCACCTCCCTAGGTAACGCATTCCAGTGTTTCACCACCCTCATAGTGAAAAAGTTTTTCCTAATATCCAATCTAAACCTCCCCCACTGCAACTTGAGACCATTACTCCTCGTTCTGTCATCTGCTACCATTGAGAACAGTCTAGAGCCATCCTCTTTGGAACCCCCTTTCAGGTAGTTGAAAGCAGCTATCAAATCCCCCCTTATTCTTCTCTTCTGCAGGCTAAACAATCCCAGCTCCCTCAGCCTCTCCTCATAAGTCATGTGTTCTAGACCCCTAATCATTTTTGTTGCCCTTCGCTGGACTCTCTCCAATTTATCCACATCCTTCTTGAAGTGTGGGGCCCAAAACTGGACACAGTACTCCAGATGAGGCCTCACCAATGTCGAATAGAGGGGAACGATCACGTCCCTCGATCTGCTCGCTATGCCCCTACTTATACATCCCAAAATGCCATTGGCCTTCTTGGCAACAAGGGCACACTGCTGACTCATATCCAGCTTCTCGTCCACTGTCACCCCTAGGTCCTTTTCCGCAGAACTGTCTAAACCTCTAAGCAGCTTGCGTCAGCTGCCCTTTATAA